TGTATCATATCTCGGTTCCTCTTACCTAACATTTCTAATCCACTTGCCCCTGTCCTGGAACATACAAACCTGTTATGGGTATGACCGTGGCAAAAAGTCACTCCAAAAAGTGGCTTACATGTATTATTTTGCATAAAACACTTAAAATTAATTTTAAAGAGGAACCAAAGGGTTGGGTGGTTATAAGCACTTACGGCTATTGCGTAGAACTTGAATTCAGATCCCAGCACCCACAAAGTGACTAAAACCATCAGTAATTCCAGTTCCAAGGGATTTATCACCTTCTTCTGGTCTCCAAGGGTTCTACATGCATATGCTACACAATACATACATACAAGCAAACACTCACAATATAAAACAAATATAACCAGAAATTTTAAGAAAGCAAATATTGTGTGAATTTTTGTATAATTTATTAGGTATAAAGGGGATTCATTCAGAGAAAAAATGATGTGGGATTCCCCTCTATATGCTGTGAGTACTACTGGTTAATAAAGAAACTGTCTTGAGCCTGTGATAGGGTAGAATAGGGCTAGGCAGGGAAAACTAAACTGAATGCTGGGAGAAGGAAGGTGGAGTAGGGAGAAGCCATGTATCACTGCTGGGGCCGGACGGAACTTTACCCGGCAAGCCACTGCCACATGGCGATACACAGATTAATAGAGATGGGTTAAATTAATATGTAAGAGTTAGCCAATAAGAAGCTAGAGCTAATGGGCCAAGCAGTGATTTAAATAATATAGTTTCTGTATGATTATTTTGGGGCTGAGCAGCCGGAAACCAACAAATGACCTACTTACAACAAACAAATACTGAGTTACCATCAGTACAAACAAACACCTACATGACAATTCATTATGAGTCTAGGATGTAGCAGCTTCTAGGCCTGGAGATTAAAAAATTCTAAGATGTGTTGAGATCTCCTGATCCACACTGAACAGCTCTTCCACTGTTTGACCTGACTCATATAAACAGTTAGATATGGATAAAAAAACACTGACCTGCATGCAGAATGACAGTGAAGTAACAGCCAAGGTATCAGAGATCACGCAAGGATATTGTGAACATGCGGAAACAGTAATCTAGCTTAGTATTCATACGGTTTGGCATCCACTACTCAGACCCACCTCCTGCTCAGTTAAGAAAGTAGGAGCAGATGGAAGCCTTTTTCCTCTAATTCTGACATGAATGGTCCCTAAATTTAACCAAGGAATCAAGTTGTCTCCATCCCACTCTCATAACTGATAATCTGGTGATAAAATGAATGGGGCATTTTAAAAATTTCAAGCTGAGGAACTGATTCATATTTGGTGACAAAATAATAGATTTTATGACATTCACAGAACTTCAATTTAAAGAGACCACCAACTTTAAAGAGTATACACATTCTAAAGAATATAAAAAATATGTCAGCTAAGATAAGTTACAAACATCATAAAAAGTGAATCATTTATCATTACATTGGAACAAAGAATGGTTAACACTAAGCTTGATACACCAAAAGCAATATAGATATTATTTCTAATATAATTGTGATTTCAAATTCAGTAAGTATTGCTTTCCAAAATGACTCCCATGGAATCCAACTAATTTGGATTTTATAAGCTGATCATAAATGACCATTACAAATATTTTAAACCACTGCTAAATACCTTCATTTTAATAAGTGTTCATTGGCTGAATAGACAGCAATTCATTTAGTATGTTTTTTTGGGGGGACTTAATTACTTCATTCTACAAACAACTTCAGATTGCTTCTAATGAACTCAATAGCAATTCTTATTCCATCTAAGTAGCCCAAAATTTGACTCACAAGCATTCTGGGAATTATTCTGCTTCTATTTGGAGTACTATTATTATACAGAATAGATTATAAAACTCCATCATGTATGCTTTCATTAATCTAATTTTCTAAATATTTACTTTGTATTGCCCTGGCTGCATTCACATCCTGATGTGATTCTGCAGCTACACAGAGATACACCATTAGACGAAGAAAAGATGATTTTAATACAACAAATAGTTTCTCTTTTGAAGTCCATGGATCCTACTAATTCAAAGCATAGCTAAACCACAGAGAAAAGCCTAACCCTTGCTCAAAGGCTTGTGGGAACATTATTGTAAGAAGAAATTCATTGTATTGAGACCCGGCTCCATGTTAAAGTTGTAGCACTAGTTAGTGGATGGGCATACTTGTAAAATTTTGGATTTGCTCCTGATTTCCAAGATCACTCATCTGCATTTACACTTCTTGCTAAAGCCACTAGTATTTTACTTAGAATTATTATCACTCTTGTATTCCAGTTACAAACCAAAGTTCTTCCATAGCCTGTCCCTTTGGGGTCTGCCCTGGGGCAGCACATCATGGAAATACTGCTTACCTCATGGCTGAGAGGAAAGCTAGGGTAAGGGTCCATGGTGCCACTACCCCCTCCAAAGTCATACCCTGATGATCTGAACCCTTTCTACCGCACTGTTTCTCCATTAGCACTTGGGAAATAACACAAGTATTCATAGTTCAAGATTATCTTCAACTACATAGTAAGTCTCAGGCCAACCTGAGCTATACAAGCCCCTCTCTCAACAAGAAAATAAAAATTCAAATTGCACCATAGACGTTAAAAAACAAAACAAGTTATATTCCTGTGATTGACATTTATGAAGTAATTAATTAGCTACATGAAAATCACATTAGATTGTTTTCATTTTAAATTCTATAAGGATGTTTCCTCTAGAGAATTACCGTTCACAGATCTCATTAAGACAACCCGATTGTGCTCTCAGAAGGAAGAATCTAATGATATAATATCCACTATGGAACTTCAACATGTTACTATTGCAGTCATGGTCCCATGGAGACCTTCAGGTCCTACCTTTATCAGGATTCAAGCCCAGAGCTTCTTTACAGAAGCAAGCATCTCTCACATTCCTTGACACATCCCTCTGCTGAAAGTGGAGCTACTCATCAGAATATTTTGCTCAGAGACCCTTCCCAACTCCTTCCTCACTTTCTATCTATTGCTCATGTTCATGTAGCTTGCATTTTAACAATCTACAACTCTCATTAAGGGCTTTTTTAATTTGTACACAAATTCTACTTCCATGAGAAACAAGTCTCAAAACCTCTTTTATCCAATAAAGAGATGTAAGCAGAGATCTAGAAATATTTACTTCTTAATGTCTGAAACCAGGCCCTTAATTTTTAAGAAATTTTAACAACTGAATGAAACTCAATCAAAAGCAAAATAAATAGCATGGATTTCTACAATCTTTGTCACATAAAGTGGTCCAGAGATTGCATGAGGGAAGGTCATCATTCTAGATCTCTAAGAACAAGTTGTTTGGTTTATGGGTAAGGAGCTGTTATACAGATCTACAAGATCATTTGAGTAAGTTCTACACAAACTTACTGTAGAAAGCCAAGCACTCTGTCATCTCATGGGGCATGCCCATCTATACCACAGCACAAATAATGGCTTTGGCCTTTAAATATTTGCAGACTTCTTCATTTCATGTACTTATCTATCTGTGCATCCATACATCCCATTGAGTAACTACCCCATTGATGATGGGGAGAGTGTGGGCCAGCAGTGTCCAGTTTTGAGGACCTACCAAAATCAATTTCCCTTCTCACTACTGCCATGGCACACACAGCAAGGTCAGAACCCTCCCCCACAGGATTAATTAATGTTGGCCTGCTCTATTAACATCAAGAGAATCAAGACTGAGAAACTTGAATTCAGCTCAGGGTATCATAGTGATAACTGTGTAGTTTACAGGGAGTGACTATCCTTTAAGCCTGGTATCAGACATGCAGACTGATTCTCATCTTTGTTCTAACAATTATTTAATGTTGTTCACTTCACTTCTTATTAAAAATGAAAACATCAATCAGTCATTTTCCCATACTGCTTTTAGGGAATGCAAACTGGTCCAATCATCTTGAGGAGCCACTTGGCAACATGTGCTAGGAGCTTAAAAATATTCCATATTTTGCCAGCTACCTCAACTTTTAGAAATCTTTTGAATATATTTTCCACAACTTAAACTTTTCTTTTTTTGGGGGGGGGGTGGTGGTTTCGAGACAGGGTTTCTCTGTGGTTTTGAAGCCTGTCCTGGAACTAGCTCTTGTACACCAGGCTGGTCTCGAACTCACAGAGATCCACCTGCCTCTGCCTCCCGAGTGCTGGTATTAAAGGTGTGCACCACCACCACCCGGCTCAACTTAAACTTTTTAATGCCTTTTTAATCATTATTACTGATAACAGGGATGAGCACAACACAAAATGACTCTACTGACTAGTAACAGTGAGGAATGATACAGTCAGAGAATACATTGACGCGTGACACTTCAACTAGGTTCTGAGTGCTTACCATAAGGGGATATATTCAGGAAACACACAAAATTAAATATGCTACGTTGTTCTGGATAAAAGGTAAAAAATAAATAAGGCTACCTAAAATTGCTAGATGACCATTTCATAATCACTAGTATAATGTTGTCACTTGTTTTTTTGTTTATTCAGGTTTTTTTTTTATTTTTATTGCTCTCTCTTAGCATCACTTCTAGAACATTGACCTTGTGAATCCAAATTAAAGAAATTCCAAATCTGTTTAGTGCAAGCACTTCAGGTTTTGAGTTGGCAGGCTACATGGCAGGGTTAAAAGCTTAGCCAGAGCTCAGAGGACACATTAAGAATGGTATGAAGGTGGGGCTGAGAAACAGGAAAAGGTGGAGACAGGCAGAATCCCAATGTGGCTTTTACAGGGAAACCTGGGGCATAAACTGAACACATGAGTGTGCCCTTTTCTCTTGTCCACTCAGAGAAATTCTTGAATCAACTGAATTCAGAAATAAGATATGGCTTTAAGACATGGTTTCTTTATGTCAATCAAACTTATACGAAATCAGTTACTTGGTGAAACAGAGTAAGTCACTTTGTAGTTAACCAAATCAGCACCATCACCACTGAACGCAACATGCTTGTTGTTCGACACAGGGTCACATGCACTATGAAGCCAAGGATGACCTTGAAGTTCTGGTCCTTCTGCTGCCACCTCCTGAGTACTGGTGACAGGTATGTGCCAGCATACCCAGCTTATGTGGTACTGGGAATGGCGTCTGGGGTGTCCTATGTGTGCTCTATGAGGTGAGCTACATTTCGGCCTGAGCTTTTACTATTCTTTTTAATACTGTGGAAACATCATCACTTCATTTCTCCAGTGTGTTTCCACACTGAGTTCAGTGTCACAGCAAGACAACGGAACTCATCATGAACAGTTTTGTATCACAGCTAGACAGCTCACAGCGATTCCTTCCCAAACATACAAGGGTAACTATTCTTATCCCCCTTGATAGGTAAAGGAATTTTAGTTGACATTTTAAACTGGTAATCACATTTGTATTCCAGGCCTCTATGTAGCTTATACAATATTTTGGTACTGAACGTTAAATTAACCAAGTCAATTCAAGAGAAGACATCATATATGATCGATTTTTCTCCCTAAATCCTTTCAATCTTTCTCTCTTTTCAATACAAATGTTAAATGCATCAATTACACATGTGGTATTTTTTTTCTTTTTTTCACGTTATTTTATTATTATTATTATTGAAAAAAATTTCCGCCTCCTCCCCGCCTCCCATTCCCCCCCTGCTCCCTCTCCAGTCCCCGAAGAGCAGTCAGGGTTCCCTGCCCTATGGGAAGTCCAAGGTCCTCCCCACTCCATCCAGGTCTAGGAAGGTGAGCATCCAAAACAGGCTAGGTTCCCACAAAGCCAGTTCATGCAGTAGGATCAAAACCCAGTGCCATGTCCTTGGCTTCTCATCAGCCCTCATTGTCCGCTTTGTTTGGAGAGTCCAGTTTTATCCCATGCTTTTTCAGACCCAGTGGTATTTCTTAAAATCAAATCTAGCTTACAAGTAATACACACACACACACACACACACACACACACACCCCACACACACCACACACACACTTAGAACCACCCTGCTTCTTGCTATAGAAAGACTCCAGATGTCTACTCAAATCTGGCCCACTTCACTGATAACTTATGAATGACGACTGCCAGCAGTGAGCATCAGCATATTGTGGCCCCAATCCTTCTGCCTCAATGACGTCAAGACCAGCCTTGTATTTCCTGGGCAAATGTGGGGAAAATCCAGGTCGCTCATTACCGGAGCATGGACAAGCAATGTCTCCCAGCCATTGTTGTTATCTGGCCCGAGACACATCTGCCATCAACATCTAAATCCTTGAACATTATTTTTGGTTGCTATTATTAGAACAGAGCTATGCCGTCTGTACATGAGGCAGAAATTAGAATTAACCATGAATTTTGAGGAAGTGATCCATCTTATGATCCCACATAACTATACTCCTAAGAGTTCAGAGAATCATTATTCATGTACTTATTTCCCAGCTTAGTGACTGACTCTTCAATCTGTCCTAAGAGTTTATGGAATATAGTAACACAAAAAGGGCTATTCTGCTTTATGTTCAGAGCTATGGCAGGTTGTTTATACTTTAAATATGTTCTAAGTCAACGTGGGTTATCAGACACCAGCACACAGAAGCCACCCTCTGCCAGGCCCACCTCAAGGTTTGTTCATTCTGTTATTCTGTTAGGCATGACTGCCAAACTTGCTGCCCGTGTCATTTTGGCTTCAACTCCTAGAAAAAGCAAATGGATGCCTCACACCCCTCACTCTGCACTCAAACAAGACACAGAAATCCTTAGAAAGGAGAGAAAAGTCTGAAGGACAGCAATAGATGCACATCTCTAAGCAAGTGTATTCAGAGAACTGTTGTCTTCAGTCTTGGGGTATAGTTCAGTGGTTAGTGTGCTCGCCGTGAGTACATGACAAGCTGGGTTTGACCCCTCAGGTCTACACAGACCTGGTGTGATAGCACAGACCTGAAAGCTCAGCATTTGGCAATTGGAGACAAGAGAATGAGGAGTTTAAGGTCATCCTCTGCTACAGAGGGAATTCAAAGCCAGTCTGGAAGCTCAGGAGACCCTGTCTCAATGCATAGATAAATAAATAAATGTCACATTCAAACTCTAAGTACCTTACTGAATTCAGAATAATACATTTTGAAAAAAAAACCTTTAAATATTTTCAAGTAATTAATTAATTTTAATAAGAATTATTAGTTTATTTCCAAAAACTATAAGCTAAAATATACAATTTTGCTTTTAACATAGATAATTCTTACAAAATAGCAGGTTCCACTTGGGAATGGTACCTAATCTCCAAGACTTTAAAAAAACAATTTTCTCAAAAGCCTGCTCATCTAAAAGGAGATGGTGGTTGTATGGGAGTGAAAACAAAGATGATTTTAAAAGAAAGATGAGTGAATATCAGACTAATTTGATAAAGTTCTATACTTAGATAAACTGGATCTCAAAAGGGCAAGTATTTTTGGCTGTTGTTTTTGTTTTCTTTTGTTTTGTTTTTGAGACAGGGTTTCTCTATGTAGCCCTGGCTGCCCTGGAACTCGCTCTGTAGACCCAGCTGGGTTTGAACGCAGAGATCCACCTGCCTCTGCCTCCTGAGTGCTGGGATTAAAGGTGTGCATCACCAAAACTGGCTTGCAAGGAAGTGTTAAGGTTACTCGTTCACTCACACTGAACTCAGCCTCAAATGCATTCTTTAAAATAGCATTAGTAGCATTGTCCACTGAATCATGAAAACTCGATCCCACAGTCAAGGCTGGACTCCCTGCAGGTTTGGGTAGAGGGTATCAAAGAGAGGGTGTTAGGGAAGAAGTGAAAGGTAAAGACTTTGCTCCCCCAAAGTGAAACCCTCAAAGACAAAGAGTTTCTGTCTCATTTGTTTGTCTTTAAGGGTTTTAATGCATTTTGTAGTGGTCCAGTAATTCTGTAGACAGGAAGAAATACACCAGCATGGGATTGCTTGCTGTGACATTCATTTTACATAGGAAAATGTGGATATGTGATTCTTAGTGAATGTAAACTAATAGCATACATCACATAGAAACTTTAGGAAGATTTTGAAATGGACAAAGCAACTAAACAAATTAGTGGGTACCCTGCTCACTTTCAAGTTTGTTTACAATGTCATACAGAAGAATGCATGCAGTGTAATTTAAGGTCAGGATACTGAAAGTCACTGAAACAGCATCTCATCTACTGGAATGCAACTGGTTACTACCCTGTAGTGACTCACCACTTACGTAAATCTTTATACATTTATTCCTTTAAATATGTGTGATTCTTGGACTTCCCATTTGAATCCATTATAACTTCCTATTAGTCAGTTAAATAAAATATTTAGTATTCATTGAATAATTATATGAGTTATGATTTAATTAAAAAACTATTCCTCAGGTCTATATTTAGGCATATGTATACATACATTCAGAGACAGATATCAAAATCTGAAACCATAATATGATTAGGTTGTAAGTACTTTCCCTGTTTGTTATTTTGTATTTTCCAAAATGGATTAATTGTGCAAGGCTTATGTTAATAATCAGAGGAAGGAATAGTTAATGGAACTAAGAAAATATCTCAAAGTCAATCTTAAATTCTATTTTCACATCTAGTTATCAAACAGCATATATTTTTCATTTCTGGTCTTAGGTGGACCCTGCAAAAGCCGCCAGCTTCCAAATGGCCAAGCCATCATATTCTCATATTTTTTTCAAAAACAAGAGACAGATACTTTGTACTAAGAATTGTTCATTTCTATGACAGATCATGATATTTAAAATATCGTAAAAATAAAACTCAGTGGTAGACTATGAAGCAAAGGTTTAAGACAAAACTGAATTTTTTTTTTTTTTTTTTGGTTTTTCAAGACAGGGTTTCTCTGTGGCTTTGGAGCCTGTCCTGGAACTAGCTCTGTAGACCAGGCTGGTCTCGAACTCACAGAGATCCAGCTGCCTCTGCCTCCCGAATGCTGGGATTAAAGGCATGCTGGGAGTTTTCCTAAATTATTGATCAAATTTGCCAGACCTTTAATAGTATCAATTAATACATACTGATGTTAAAGAATGAGTTTACTGAGTAAACTTCCTTTTCTCTCCTTCAGAGACCAGAGGTGACTCCAAAATCACATTGTCCTTTACAATAAAAGTTACTGGAAACTGTAAAAACAAAAGCAAAACAAAATAAACAAAATCCCCAGTGATGTTAGAGAGATGTTGGCGATATCATAGCTTATAAAAAGCAGATTATCTCTCAATACGCATCAAGTAAAATGTTGAAGAAACCATCACTTGAAACTGTGGGTTTAGGGGTTCAAAGGAAAAAAAGAGCAAGCTAACTGGGAGTCGTGCTGCACAGAGTTACTACATCCGGCTGTCTCGGCGGTCCCGTGTGAAAAATGAGCACTCTGATTTTATGCATGTTTAATTTTTATCAGCCTAAACTCATGAGAGACTACAAGGAGTATCTCCAGCAACGTGTAAATGCTGAACAGGCATGGTGGCTCACTTACAATTCCAGCACCACAAATTCAGGTTTGGGTAACCAGCTGGCTAATTAGAAGGAATGAACTAAAATCCCCGAGAAACCGTGCCTAGAGAAATAAAATGAAGGGTGATCACGGAAGACTTGCAACATCAACCTCTGCTGTGTACATTGAACCTCCTGCACACAGGTACACACACACAGACACACACACACACACACACACACACACACACACACACACACAGAGAGAGGTAGACTTGACTGTCCACATAACAGCCAAGGATAAAAGGCCACAGGGAGGCTATTAATTTGTTTTGTTGTTGTTGGTTTTGATTTAACAAAACGCAAAGGGAGAACTCTCTCTGAATGTTAAAAAGTTGAAGTTCCATTCCTTCCATTCCATCACCTTCACAGCACTAGGTGATTCTCAAAGCAGATAACTGAAAATTTTGGCTAGAATTTTTTTTTCTCATTTCTAAGGAGCTTTGACAGAATTTGTTCTCACTTGCAATGGGTGGGTGTTTTGAGATAACTGATTATGGGCATCAAATTGCATCATATATGTGATATGAACAACAGCTATCTAGAAAAATGAGGTCTTCCAAGAGAGGAAATCCCACTTTGTGCTTGAAAAGTTAAAGCAACAGCTTGGATTTACCGAATTCCTACTTCCTTTCATTCTTCAAACTTTCTAGGAAAAAGCAACCACGATGTTCTCTTCCAGAGAAACATGAAGCCTGAAGGCCTTGGAGCCACTGCCTGCAAATGAAGAAACGGTGCCAATCACTATGCAGTGGGCTGCAAGGCACAGAGAGCAGCTGCTGCAAAGCCATTGTGCCAGCCCAACTCCAACTGTAGCACAGTGGAGTCCAGCGACAGCCCATCAGATGGTGGGTCCTAGTGTACTTTGTCTTAAACACCAGCTTTAAAACAAACAACACAAACACACACACACAGAAAGAAAGGGTTCATCTCTAAAACATATGGAGAACTCCTGGCACATCTCTTAATTGTGTCTTAATCATATTCTTTGTTTCACTAAAAGACCACCAGGCAAGCAGGGTGTGTAGTTAGGCATCCCAGTTCTGTGCTTTTCAGCTTCCTGTCCCAGGGTCCACTTGTTTATATATAAACCCCAGTTATAGATAAACTCGATATGACTCCTTTTCATTCCTACCAGCTCACAAGTATGTCAACAATGTATGTTTAAGAGAAGACAATGGATTAAGAAAGCTGAAGTAGGAGGACTGAGAATCTGAAGCAAGCCTGAGCCTCGTAGGAAGACCACACTTTACAAACCAAACGAAGTACAAATGGAAACTCAAAGTGGCAAATCTCATATCTCTAGGGATAAAGAGAGTTTCTCACATTACAGTATTCTGGTGATGTCTTTGAGATCAAAGAATGTGTGTTTCCATGTAAGGTTAGCGTCACTCTTCCACGCCACACTAATCCTCATGTGTCGACACAGGAGTGCACACTAGACTATATCTTGTTGCTAAAATATTTCCTCATTTCCAGTCGAATGATCAATTTTGTAATCATAAGAGTCAAAGCAACAAAGACAAATTAAATGATCCACTGTGCTCCACATTCACTAGGGAAAAGCTGCTTGGGGCTATATAAAAATATCTGTTTACCAGATCGCATGTTTGGTGAGGCTGAACTTAGTTCCCGTTGGAAATCTGGTTAGACTTCGAGGGGTTTAAAATTCATGTGATTTTCTTGAAGAGATGTAAACAAATATTCAAATGTTTGTCACTTTGGAGGTGTTAATTATGTCATCTTACATGAAAACAGCAAAGAGTAAACTCCCCATCACTCCACAGTTGGTTAAAGTTGGAATTAACTTGGCTACTTCTAGTCTAGATGGGCATGAGTGACATCAAACAGTGGCCACACATTTAATCGCTGATCTTTCTCTGAGGGCTACAAACCCTTCAAGGCTCAGGTCTCCTACTTCATACTCTATGTCACCTTCTTTTTTTAAGTAAACTCACTCTATTGTAACAAATTTACAAAGACATCACATAACCATAATAATAAGATTCTCAGAAAGAAGTAAATAAACAACCACTTACATAAGCCCAATCTCATGGATCTCAGTGAACGTCTAGACCACTAGCATGGCCATTTAGAAATCACAGAGCCTCACATGGGGTTTTATACTTTCTTTGTCAATTACATTTTTATTCACTTATCCATTAATAAAAAAGAAAAAATAAAACTATGACAGAGTTGATACTAGAAAACATAAAGTTGTATATGCTCATGTATCAGTTTTCCTATATTTTGTCTTTCCTCCTTACTTTAAATTACCTCTCTTGGTCTCTTTTCTGAATTTTATGTTATGCCTCAATTTAGACATGCTTACAAACACAAACACACACACATGTATATGTAGGACAACATGCATTTTTTCCTTTGAGTTTGGGTCATGTCATTTTATATCATCATACTAAGTACATCTATTTTCCCATATATTTCTTGGTTGCATTCCTCTTTATGGTTGAAAATATTCCAGTCTATAAGCATATCATATTTTCACTATCCACTCTTCTGTTGCTAAACATCTAAGTTAGTTCGGTTTCCTTGATGCTTTACTAAATAGAGCACCAACAAAAGAGAATGTGCGAAGATCTTTGTGGTAGGGCACAGAGTTCTTGGAGTGCCTGGCTGGGAATTGTATAGTTGGGTCACATGACCTACCAACCTAGGAGGTATAAATAATCTAAACAGGCCTATTATAAGCAATGGGATCAAAATTGTTATCAAAAGTCTCTCTACAAAGTTTAGGATAGAATGAATTAATTTCCAAAGTCTTTCAAAATTTCAGTAAGATTTAATAGTGATTCCCCACAACATAAAAGGTAAAGAAACACTACCAAATTCCTTTATGAAGTCATTATAACCCTGGGACAAAACTAGATAATGCTATAACACAAAAATGACAACTACAAACCAATTTCTCTGATAAACATAGATGCAAAAATTTTTAAGAAAACACATAAAAAACAAATTCAGGAACACATTAAAATCATACACACAACGTGAACAAGCTGGCTGCATACCAGAGATACAAACTTGGTTCAAAATATTCAAATCAACTAATGTAATACAGCATATAAAAATGTAATGGAAGAAATCCCACAGTTGTCTCTGTTGATGATGTCTCCATCAAATGTTTCCACTTATTCCCCTTGGGCTGAGCTGTCTATAGGAATGAACTATCCTTAGTGGTAGCAACACTATAAACTCAAACAAACATGATGAGCAATCCTTGAAGTTAATCCCATTCAAAACCATTACCACAAGAGCTGTTTGTGTTGACAGACTCTTCTGGAAGAACATGAGTCATCTGCAGAACCTCAGAACAGTACAAATTTTATGTATTTGCTTTAATTAATTGCTAGATAAACAAGTACTTCTGAGATTTTTAGGAAGCCAAGCTAGTGACTTCTGGCAGAAAAGTAGATATGGAAATAACTGCCCACCCCGATGGTGAGAAGAAAGGCAAGCCAGTGAAGCAGATGACCCACAGAAAAACTTCTCAAGTAAATGTTTGGAAAGCAAAGAATTGGAGGGGTTCCCAAAGACATTTTTCAAAGAGCATGCAATTGTTGTTAAGGACCTCTTTCCTGGGGCTAGCATCCTTCATAACTGAGTAAAAATGTTACACTAAGTTTCTTCTTATCCATAATGGTGTACCACTCAATAAGACATTTCCCAAAATTAAAAGCCCTGCTGTGTGCTTGCACCCCCAGCATGTTGAGTTATACTTGGGATGTGTGTTTCTGCACAAAATTTAAATTACGATAGGCACACTGGCTGTAAAGCATGGCTGAGTTCAGAGTGAGGTCATATACACCTCTACAAGCAACAAATACACATCTGGTTGACCAATGGAATCTAATCGAAGACCCGAATATAATCCACAAACCTATGAACACCTAATTTTTGACAAAAGGAGCTAAAATTATACAATGGAAGAAAGAAAGCATCTTTAACAAATGGTGCTGGCATAACTGGATATCAACATATAGAAGAATAAAAATAGATCCATATCTATCACCATGCACAAAACTCAAATTCAAATGGATTAAAGACCTCAATATAAATCTGACCACACTGAACCTGATAGAAGAGAAAGTGGGAAGTAGTCTGCAACACATGGGCACAGGAGACCACTTCCTACGTATAACCCCAGTAGCACAGACAATAAGAGCAACAATGAATAAATGGGACCCCCCTGAAACCGAGAAGCTTCTGTAATGCAAATGACACTGTCATTAAGACAAAAAGGCAACCTACTGAATGGCATGTCTTCACCAACCCCCCAACAGACAAAGGTCTGATCTCCAAAATATATAAAGAACTCAAGAAGGACTGGCTTTGTGGGAGCCTAGGCTGTTTGGATGTTCACCTTACTAGACCTGGAAGGAGGTGGGAGGTCCTTGGACTCCTCACAGGGCAGGGAACCCTAACCGATTGTTGGGCTGATGAGGGAGGGGGAGTTGATTGGGGGAGGGGGAGGAAAATGGGAGGTGGTGGTGGGGAGGATACAGTAATCTTTAATAAATAAATAAATAGTAAAAAAGAAACTAAACATTAAAACTCTAACCCAATTAAAAAATGGCGTACTGAACTGAACAGAGAATTCTCAACAGAAGATATTCAAATGGCCAAAGGACACTTAAGGTCATGCTCAACCTCCTTAGCCATCAGGGAAATGCAAATCAAAACAACTTTGAGATACCATCTTACACCTGTCAGAATGGCTAAAATCAAAAACACCAATGATAGCCTTTGCTGGAGAGGATGTGGTGTAAGGGGAACACTCATCCATTGCTGGTGGGAATGCAAACTTGTGCAACCACTTTGGAAATCAGTGTGGCAGTTTCTCAGGAAACTGGGAGTCAACCTACTTCAGGACCCTGCAATTCCACTCTTGGGAATATATACCCAAGAGATGCCCAATCATACTACAAAAGCATTTGTTCAACTATGTTCATAGCAGCACTATTTGTAATAACCAGAACCTGGAAACAACGGAGGTGCCCCTCGATACAAGAATGGATAAAGAAGGTGTGGCACATATACACTTTAGAGTTCTACTCAGAGGTAAAAAAAAACAATGACATCTTGAATTTTGCATGCAAATGAATGGAAATAGAAAACACTTTACTGAGTGAGATAATCCAGACCCCAAAAGAGGAGTATGGTATGTACTCACTCATAAGTGGATTTTAGCCATAAACAAAGGGCATTGAGCCTTATAGTTCATGATCCTAGAGAAGCTAAATAAGAAGGTGAAGCCAAAGAAAAATATATATTTATCTTCCTGGATATTGGAAGTAGACAAGATCGCCAGGCAAAATTGGGAGCATGGGGGTGGAGTGGGTTGGGGGGGAAGGGGAGATGGGGAGAGAGAAGGGAGAGAAGGGGGAGGATTGGGGAGAGCTTGAGGGCATGGGATGGTTGAGATGGAGGAAGGTGGATATGGGAGCAGGGAAGAAGATATCTTAACTAAGGGAGCCATTTTAGGGTTGGCAAGAGACTTGGTTCTAGAGGGGTTTCCAGGTGTCCAAGGGGATTTCCCCAGCTAGGTCCTTGGGCAGCAGAGGAGAGGGTGCCTGAACTGGCCTTCTCCCACAGACAAGTTGATGAATATCTTACATATCACCATAGAACCTTCATCTGGCAATGGATGTAGACAGAGACAGAGACCCACATTGGAGCACTGGCCTGAGCTCCCAAGGTCCAGATGAAGAGCAGAAGGAGGAAGAACATGAGCAAGGAAGTCAGGACCTTGAGGGGTGCGTCCACCCATGGAGGCAGTGGGACTAATCTAATGGGAACTCACCAAGGCCAGTTGAACTGGGTCTGAATGAGCATGTGACCAAACTGGAATCTCTGAATGTGGTTGACAATGAGGGTGGACTGAGAAGCCAATTATAATGATATTGGATTTTGATTCTACTGCATGTACTGGCTTTTTGGGAGCCTAGTCTGTTTGGATGCATACCTTCCTAGACCTGGATGGAGGGGGGTGGGCCTTGGACTTCCCACAGGACAGGGCACCCTGACTTCTCTTAGGACTGGAGAGTGAGGGGGGGGGAGTGGGAGGAGTGAGAAGGGAATGGGAGGAGGTGGAAGTTTTTAATAAACAAATAAAAAAATTTAAAAATAAAAAAAACAAATACACATCTGTGCATTCTTAGAAGATAGTAAAAAATTATGTCATATTAATGGTAACTGGTATCTCTCCTTCTAGAATTTGCTGAACATTCCTCTGACAACTGGATGCATGATACGCTCATACAATATAAACAATAATAATTATAAATTAATGTATGCAAATTTGACTCTACCCCACAGTGTCAAAAAGGCTTGAAGATGCCCCTCTGTTAGGCATGAATTCTCATGCTAGATGTTCATTGGTTCTCAACTGGAAGCTTAGAGGGACAAGTAAGTTTTGGAAGCAAAAATAATGTTCATGGACAATTCAAACCATATTTTTATATTATGAGTAATGTTTCACTTGGAAAGATATCTGACTTTAAATTGTTATCAATTATTAATCATAATAATAATTAAGCTCACAATTCTAATCTCAACTTCTAAGTTTTTCAACACAGATGTAACTGTCTTTATTCCCTTATAATTGTATGAAGAGGGGGAAATTATGATACTCAGACTCAGTATAATTTTGAACCATAAATGTGGCCCTAGAAATAATCACTCTAGGAGAAAAAAAATGCCATGTTTATAAATATTATAAATGAAAACCTTTGAATACCAAACACTTTGATATTAAACTATGTATTAAAAAATTGAAGCACAAATTTATTGACAATAGAATTCCAGGGGCTGGAGAGATTGCTCAGTAGTTATCATCGTGTGTATTTTCAGGAGACCTAGGTTTAGGTTGCAACATCCATATGATAGTTCACAACTATCTTTACTCCAGCTTCAGAGGACTCAGCACATATGAGGGCACTAGACATGAAGATGATGTGTAGCAATCCATAAATGAAAAATGTCATACACATAGATAATAAAATATAACAAAAGGAAGGAAGACAATAGAGTTCTATCTATGCTGCAAAGTGAAGAGAAGTTTGGGTTTAAAAATATATATTGGGGCTGGAGAGATGGCCCAGTAGTTAAGAATGCTTCCTGCTCTTTCAGAAGACTCAGGTTCAGGTCGCAGCACTCACATCATCTAGCTTACAACCTCCTGGAACTCTAGCATCAGGAGGACTTGACATCATTTTGTGGCATGGCCTCCACAAGGCTTCATGCACATGTCATATATTCACACAAACACAGATACGCATCTAAACTCAAAAATAACTTAAATCTTTAACAAAAAACAAGAAATNGGAACCTGAAATGGCCCTATCCTATAGCCATACTGATGAATATCTTGCATATTACCATAGAACCTTCATCTAGCGATGGATGGAGATAAGAGACAGAGACCCACACCGGAGCACTGGACTGAGCTCCCAAGGTCCCAATGAAGAACAGAAGGAGGGAGAACATGAGCAAGGAAGTCAGGACCACGAGGGGTGCACCCACCCACTGAGACAATGGGGCTGATCTATTGGGAGCTCACCAAGGCCAGCTAGACTGTAACTGAAAAAGTATGGGATAAAACATGGGATTGAACATGGCGGACAATGAGGGCTGATGGGAAGCCAAAGACAATGACACTGGGTTTTGATCCTACTTCATGTTCTGGCTTTGTGGGTGCCTAGCCAGTGTGGATGTTCACCTTCCTAGACCTGGATGGATGGGGGAGGACCTTGGACTTTCCACAGGGCAGGGAACCCTGACTGCTCTTCAGACTGGAGAGGGAGGGGGAGAGGGGGGGGGGGGGGGGGAGAAAAGGGGGACGGGGAGGGAAATGGGAGGCGGGGAGGAGGCGGAAATTTTTTTTTCAATAAAAAATTATATTTAAAAAAATAAGTCTCACATGACTTCTTTTCTTTTCTTCATTGTCAAGATGACAGTTAAAAATTATCAAAAGTAAACTCTAGTTCTGGTATGGACTTGACCAAATGCTTTTACCTCCATTAAACTCCATTTCCCTATGAGAAAATTAAAGCAAACAAAATAAATTTATAGGG